GAGACAATTCCTGAAGTTGCAGTAACTTACATCAAAAGCAAACCTCACTTTAAATACATGGGAATTTTAGACTCCTTTTAAAAATTTTCAGTACTAGGACTTGAACTTGGGGCCTTGTACGTATTTAGCAAGCACTCCACCACTCAGCTACATCCTCATCCCTTTTTTATTTTGAAACAGGTTCTTGCTAATTTGCCCAGGCTAACTTTGATCCCATTTTCTTGTCTAAGCAGGCCTAGAACTTGTGATCTTCCTGCCTCAGCCTCCAGAGTAGCTGTGAACACAGCTGTGATTACATCCCGAGCATTTAAACCTTTCTGATACTGCCCACGTTCTGTGCCTCCTCTATTATTTGCAATTCCTGCTGATCCTAACACCAATAGTTTGCATGTGGTGGGGGGAGCATAACACTTTTTAAAAAGAAAAGAGACTCTGGAAACATTAGAAAAATATGTGTTAGAATATCTATGATGGGTAAAGTATGTTCCTTTATATTTCATCCTTTGACTTTTTATCTTCAAAAGGTTTCACCATACAACTCTTTAAAGCTAAGGTAAAAATACCATTTTGTAGTTGAGTGCATCAATAAGGTTCTTGGAAAAAGAACAGTTGTTGAATGACAAAAGAAAAGGTTATTTCATTTTATTGCCTAGCTCTGGAGCTGTTATTTTACAAGTAGTGATAGATAAATATGTTTGAAATGGGAAAGAGCCATAGCAGGGGGCCATCTGGAAACAAATAGAAAATTTCAGATTATGTAACTGTTATTGTTCTGGTTTAAAGCAAAATCAGATTTGATCCATGTCTTCCTGCTACTCCCATGGTTAAGATGTATTTTGCTTTCACTACATTTTATTGTGCTAACTGTAAATATGTACATCCAAAATTCTATATAGTTTTCTTTGATTTCTTCTTCTTTTAATGAGGACAGAGTGTCAATGTTATGGTACAAGGAAGTTTCAAGGGATCAGATTTGTCATGAGCTGGCTTATACCATATTAAACTGCTGTTGAACAAAAAGAAGAGCCAGCTGGCTAAACTCCCAAACTCTAGAAACAAAGACTTGTTCATTGGGAGGAGTGTCACACACTCACCTCAACCACTGATGGTTCACTGATGGTGGTTCACGATGTTATATAAACTCATCCATACAAGAGCAGTGTGCAGACTGGTAGAAAAAGGCCAAATCAGCAGCTCTGTGCGTTTTTCGGTTGAGGATGAATTCATGCACAGCAGGCAGCATTCAAATCTCATCTTGTATGATGAGAGCAGAAAAAATGATTTGTTATTGCTTTAAGCGGGACACTGTTTCATTTAGTGAATGCAAATCTTCCTGTTTTCTGATGCAGCTCAAGATTCTGCTCATTATACATGGAAAACAGCCCATCATGCTTTGGCATTTCAGTGACACGCACAACATCAGCGCATCCTGGGAGAAGAGATTTAATTTTGCTTCAATAACTTATTTCATAGACATACTTGAAATCCTGAATGGACAGTGAGAATGTCAAAAGCCCCAGAGAGTCATTTTTAATAAAGAATTGTCATCAATAAAGATAATCATCAAGTGGGACAAGATGCAATATTCTTTCCTTCCTTCACCTGGAATTCAAATAATTCATGGTTTTAGATTTCATTTTTTTTATATTTACAACGATGTATGAAATGTTGGTTCAAATAAGACCTATTCACAGTGAGATTACTGAGCCCTAGATACAGTGATATTGATCATTTGTGTGGTGTTGTAAAGAACGAAATTGATGGCCATTAATGCCTTATTGTGTCTGTCTTAAAAAGCTTAAGTGCTGGTGAGGTAGATCAGTGATTGAGTGCTTGTCTAGCACGCAGCTGGCTCGAGTTTGATCCTCAGCACCACATATTTCAACAAAGAAGAAGCAATGATCCCTGGGCTTTCTTATTCCCTCCTCACATTGTTTCGACTCCAGGAGTCATCTATTTTTCCTATTTACTTTTTCAATCAGGGTCGTGCTTAGAGCGTCTGGTGAGTTCCCTTGTGATTTTCGTAGATTAAGGAAAAGTGCTTCCTGTCGACTCCTGGCTCTGACCAGAATCTCACTGGCTCTTCCACCTTTACATTTCTCCCAATACCTCTAAAAAAGATTCAAGAAAGACCAAGCTAGGTTTACTCTTATTTGCCTCTGACAACATTCTCTCTTAGACTTATTGAGCATGACTGTGTCTTGGCTGCTGGGAATATAATGAACAGGGCTGTCATGGATCCTGCTAAGGAACTCAGTCTAGTGAAAGGTGATGCTTATGCTGTGTATCAAGGCACATGACCCAGGCCAGGTGTCGACCCTGCACATGGCAGGAATGTCAACACTGGACTGAATGAGTCAGAAGGCTTCTGGTGTTTCAAATGAAACAGGGAAGGGAAATATATGGGAGTGAAGCCAAAGGTGGACAGGGTAGAATACAGTAAGGGAGTTCCAGGAAGGAAGGGTCGAAGAGCTGAAAAGCGCAACTGGGTAAAAAGCTGGTGGGAAAGGTCACCCTGAGAAGGGCATGGAGGCTGGGAAGGCAACCAGGAAGTAAAGGGCCAGGTGCACTGCTCCAGGGAATTCATACAGTAATCTGTTTAAAGTCATCATTTTCAAAACTTTAGATATTATAAAATATCCAGCAACTCAAATGTAAGGGTTCCTATCATAACTTTATGCATTTTTGTATTGGAATCTCAGAACTGGAAACAGTGATTTTTGTCTTATCAGAAATTCAAATCACTTTTTTGCATTCCTTTGAAGTATTAAGCACATATAATTTTAATCCTTTCTTTACATTTTCTTATTAAAAATATTTTTATATGACTAAGTGCCTAGAATTTTCTCTAGAAGTAACATGGGTACAAATCATGAATTTACTTTAAAAGAAAACCCTCACTTGAGTTTCCTCAGTCTTGCATTTTTCCATTTTCAAATTCTCTGACAGTTATATAAATGTTTATAATGCATTTCGCCATTTGCAACCCCCATTCCCCTCTCTCACTTGCTTCCTCTTCTACTGAAACCCTTTTTCTTCCCAGCAAGTCCCTGCTTACTTTCATGGCTTCTCTGTGTGTGGCCCAAGGTATTTAATTAGAGATGCTTGCATGAGTGTGAGTTGGGAGGGTGTTTATTGGAGCACTGGCAACTTATCAGCGTTATATTTAAGCCTTTTTTTTTTTTTTGAGACAAGACCTCCCTGTAGCCCCAGCTGGTCTGGAACTGGCTATGTCACCAGATTGGCCTGGATCCCATAGAGATCTGCCTGCCTCTGCCTCCCAAATGCTGGGATTAAAAGTGTGTACCACCACACCCAACTAAGACTTACATTAAAAATTTATTTATTTGTTATTTTTTATTTTATGTGTATTACCTGAATGGGTGTAAGTGTACCCGTGTCGTGCAGTGTACATGGAGGTCAGAAGAAGGCATTGGATCCCCTGGAACTGGAGTTACAGATAGTTGTTAGCCACCATGTGGGTGTTGGGAATTGAGCTTGTATCCTCTGCAAGAGCAGCCAGAGCTCTTAACTGCTGAGCCACCTCTCCAGCCCCAAGACTTACATGTTTAGCCAGTAATTTCAACACGGACTTTCATAAGGAGAATTCTTTAGTCAAGATAGGAACTCTGCTAGAAAGGATAACCATACTTAGGGTTTAAACAAATTTTTAATTTATTTTTATTTTATGTGCATGAGTATTTTGCCTGCATGTATGTAAGTGTACCCTGTGTGCAATGCCTTCAGAGTCCAGAAGGCATTAAAACCCCTGAGACTGGAGTTACAGACAGTTGTTAGTAGCCATGTAGATTCTGGGAATTGAACCTGGTTCTTCTGGAAAAGTAGCCAGGGCTCTTAATCGCTGAACCATCTCTCTAGACCCCATACTAACTTTTTGAAATTCAAACATTGATAGAAGAGCTTATAGCCTGTGACCAGTCCGTCAACACCTAGATTGGTAGATACATAAAAGCTATTTCAACTATATCTTGAGTATCAACATGGTACTTGTTTCACTAATATTTTGGGTCAATTTATAATACATACAAATGTGGATGTTGGGGGATTTTATTTCCCTCATTCATACCCTAAAGTATGAACATTATTAACTAGAGCACAACAGGGAAAGTGAGCTCACAATTCACAATTCCTGTACTCTAGCAACCTTTAAACACATATACAGCTAGGTTGATGAAGTTTGAAAGGAGACCTCATCAAATTTATAACAGCTAGAAAGTGTGAATAGCAGGAATCTGCTTCCTGGTCTTGCTTGCCTTTGGGCATGAATAGGTTTTACTGTTTAGCTTCCACATGGGCAATAGCAGTTAGGTAAGATATGCAAAATACATAAAATTGGACAAAAGTGATAAGAGACTTAAAAGACCGAGTTCCCCAGGATGCTGTATACATAGGATTTTAATAGCTTTCTGTCAAACCTCAAAGAAAATGGAGAGCTTTAATTTTTTAATTAAATTGAATATGTAACATAAGAAAGAACATGCCAACTTTTTACTTGACTAGACATTTCACATCTTCAGATAACACTCAGTAGCTTTTAATACCAAGTTGAATATATTACATTTAAATATTTTGATTATTAGTAGACAGTCTTCCAGTAACATAATTAATTCCTTCCCTTCATCAAAAATTTGTAATAAATTACTCTTTCAATGTAAGATTTTTCCCTAGCATGACAGAAAAAGTTAAAAATATGAAAACAAACTCCTCTCCTATTTTTCAAGAAAGCAAAAGATGATCTTTTCTGAATAATGCATTTCAGAAAGGCATAGAATATTCTTAATACTACAGTGATAATTGTACGAGAAAGCTAGAATTTGTCTTATACTGTCTTATACAGACTTCCCCCTAAAACATACTTAATGTACCCTCCTAAGCTTAATTTCAAGTCTTTAAAAAGGATGTAGTTGTAAGAAGTTAGAAAGGACTTTAAACTCAAATTCATAAGCATCAGCCCCTCTCCCTGAGGGAATAGTTGGGAATTACATATTAATAGCACTCTTAATTTAATATTCTAAAAGAACAGCATTTGAAAGAAAAATAATAGGCAACAGAGCAGAATGATGGCAAATTACACCAAGCAACATATTGGGTCTTCACAGAGCTCTTCCTATTTTCCAGATCATCACAGAACATGAAGTGAAAACTCCCAATTGCTAAGAGGTAGATGGGCCCATTTTCCAGGTGGGAAAGTGAGGCACTGAGATGCTTTGCCATCAGCTATGTAAGTATTCAGCAGCAGCAGCATTGACACTAGAAGCAGGAGACTCTGATTGCAGTCATGTTCACGGTCTCGTAAAGCACAGCAATGCAAGGACAGAGAGAACATCAGTCCACTCCTGCAGTCTGTGTTCCATCTTGTGTGACATAGAGAGATAATGGAAGGCTGAAAGTAAAGTGGACACTTCTATTCTCCAGCACGAAGTCCATGAAATCAGCATGAGGAATGATTACTTACACTGACATTCTCAGACTCAGGAATGTAGTGTATATTGACACAACATAGAATGTATTTCAGTAAATGAGATCAATATATGAAAAACACAATTAAAGGTGACTAATACAATATTTTAAAAAACACAACTTCTTTGAAATTTCTACTCTTAAGCCCCACAAAGAGATGTTTATGAACACAATGTCAAACATTTGGATTTTAAAATTAACTTGCATGTCTATGCTGATATGAGCAGTCACATGTGCTTAGACTAAGAGGGAATAAACATGATATCGTTTTGTGTCATATTATACAGAACATAGCTCTTCCTAGAATACAAGAATATATCCTTACCCATTGCACACAATTTGCCAAGCTCCTCAAATGCATTTAACTCTAAAGCAAATTCAATTATTTCACCCAACAGTAGTATTAGTCAAACAAACAAGATGGCCAGCGTGGAAATAAATTGGTGAGGGACGCTGTGTGTGATGTGTCCGAAAATAAACAAACTGTGTTATCTTTTAGGTGCATAACAACGTCCACTGGTGCCAACAGCACAGTTACTGTGCGAGTAGCCAGTACATTAGGGACACGCTGACATAGACAACACACAGTACAATCCAGTTTATTCGTGTGATTGGTGGCCCACGGTTACCTGTCACTTGGAGGTTGGCATTGGAATACAGGATGCCACTTGGGTTTTGGGCCTGAGCCACATAGAGGCCAGCGTCTGCCTCACACACCTTCGGAATGAAAACTGAATGTTTTGTCTCCTTGTGTAAAACCTGTAAGTGTTCATCTGCAGACAATTTCTGGCCCTCCTTGAACCTAAAGCAGAGAGTCAGTTTTCAAAGTCAGGATCGTTATTTGTTCCCATCACTTCCAAGTTCTAACATCTATTCCAAACAGGCCCATTCCCACAGAAGTATCCTTTGGCATCAGCAGGAATTTTCTAGCTACAGTAGATGCCAATAAGACCATTTATCAGTTGATGGCCAGAAAATTACTGTTTGACTCATATCATGTTTTTGAAAGATTAAGTTCTTTGAAAACATTTAACAATTAGAATATTATAGATGAAAATTCCAATTTCCAATTATTCTTTTAAAACTTTCAGACAATCTGGTCATACTGGGTCACCATTTGCTTATGGCAACAATTTCCTAGAATGAGAAGTGGCACCCTCTATCCAGCCTGCTTCACCTTCTCCGCAGCATTTGTAGCAGCTGTGACTCACCCTTGGAATCTGTATGGGAGTGGGTTTCATCTGCCCTTGGCATTCATACACTAGAGCCTCCCAGCAGGACACGTGCAGTGTGAAAGGAAGGTAATTTACACTTCTCCTGCTGGGGTGAGATCACTTGTTTTATGAACTAATTTCATTCAAAGATGATGACTTCTCCTTATAAAAGCCATTTATGCAATTGGATCTTGACTATGAATGACTTATTTCTAAAACTTTTCTATGAACACAAGCACTTACCTGGATCGTTTTACATAGCAAATAGTTTATTTTGTGTATTCCACATCTGGTTCTTTATCCATACTTTCTTCCATGAAAGGACTGATGAGAAATCTGAGTCAGTTGCGTGTGTAGTGTATGAACATGTGTGTGTGTGTGTGTGTGTGTGTGTGTGCGTGTGCATGTATATGTGTGTGGAGCAGGGGCTGATGTCAGGTGTCTTCCTTAATTGCTCTCCATCTTATTTTTGAGACAGAGTCTCCCATTGTACCTAGAGCTCATTGGTTTAGCTAGACAGTCTCCACCTCCCCTTCCCCAGTGCTGAGGTTGCAGGTGCACACACTACACCCAGCTTTTATATATGGTGCTGGGATATGAATTCAGATCCTCATATCTGCACAATAGGCACTTCACTGACTGCCCTCTCTCCAGTCCTGTGAGTCGATTTTCTTCCCATTACCTAAGTGATTCTTTTGCATTCTCAGAGTGTCCTAAGAACGAACAACTCCTTGATACCTTGTCAGGTGTTCACTGAGCAAAGATACTCTTTTTTCATAATTTATAGTAGTTCTCCAACAATACATATGTTACACTCGTTGTTCAGCTATATAGACTAACCAAGCTGTTTATGGAGAAAAATAAGAAACACCTCAGACAACATTTTTCTTTGGGGTGAACTAATATTTAATTATGAAATAAATACCTCTTGAATTCATAAATACAAAATTTTTGATTTGTAAAAACCATGCAATTGTAAAAATAACAAAATAAAACAAAAATTCTAAGTTCTGCACTGCACACAAGTGCAGTTTCTCTTACTTTTTGAGAACCAAAGTTTTGTCCTACGTTCTTTAGGTACCTGGTTCATAATTCAAGTACTGGCAATGGGACACACAATCATTATTGAAAATTTAGCTTGTCCTGAAAGATCCTGATAAGTAAAATATACACTTAGTTATAAACTCACAGTCACTTATTTGTTAGTTTGTTCTCAAATCTACTTATGGATGAAAAACTTCCCAAGGTTTAAAAATAACTCACATATGGAGGCTAGAAGTACTGTTTACTGTTAACAGGAGGTGGTTTGAAACCTATAATCTACTTTGCTTTTACCAAAACAAATAGGGTAAAAAATAATAATGTCTCCACAGTGAAGTCCTATTGTTCACAGCTCAGTTATTATACCACTTTTCAAAAATGAGTTTATTACTTGCCACCTAGAGTAACTGTAAAAGAAAAATTCAACCTTTCACATTGAAGAAATGTGTACAAAGGAATCTTAGTAAAACAAATATTACAAAGATGTGGTTCTGTTGGAAAGAAGAAATGAGTCAATAAAAAGAAAGAAAAACTGTAATTTCTTGGGTTTTTTAAGTGCATGAAGGGTGTTAAACCAAGAAAATGCTGTGCTGGTGCAGAAAGGGGGACAGGGGAAGTACTTCAAGACCCACGTTTTAGAAATGAGGAATGTTAAATGGAAAGAGGACAAACAAGCAGAATCAACTTATAATGCTTTGGGGGTTGTTAAATTATTATTTTCTGTGGTTACTTTTCTCTTCTAAGGGTATTAAAATGCTCTCAGTAACAGGAGAGTTGGGGTTTGCTGTGAGATCAGATCATGCAGAGTTGTGGTGTCACAAGGGTTAGTCGGCTGGCCCTGAACTCTTTGGTTAGTGCACACAGGAGAATATTCTCAGTGGTCTGTTTATTTCTGTCTATGACTTGTCATTATAGGCTACCCACCATGTCAGTGTAGGCTCTGGAAATCCTGTTACTTCGACTTCCAAAGTCACTGGAGAACCTTCCATGACAGTTACATTGGACAGCAGCCTGGAGAAATGAGGTGCCTGGCCAGCCAGGCTGACCATGCGGTTCTCTGCAGATGTGTTTTTCGTCTCTCCTCGGGGACCCATTTGCCTCTGATGGCCCTGGCTGTTGTCTGATGGAGAGCCAAGGCCAGGGCATGCATCAGGGGAAGCATGCAGTCTGTGTTGGGGTTTAGTGACGTTAGAATCAGCATGCACTTTCTCTCGAGTGATTAGCAAGCTTTCCTGAGCCTGGGAGTGAAGCTGTAAAGCTCTGTCGTACATCTCACTGGGCATGCTCTCTGGACGCTTAACGCTGATGTGTAACTCAGTACTCATTTCCACTAATCCTCTGGAGGCTAATGAGGATTCGGCTTTGAATTGGGGGTAGGGTCTCTCCAAATGACTTGTAAATGTGTCTTTCTTATCACTGCACACATCACCAAAAGGAACAGGTGGTGGGAGAAGAGACTCCTGGGCCTGCCCTGGACCTCCAGTTCCTGTTGGCATCCTGCAGCTGCTGATGTGAAGAGTGAGACCTGAGGAGCTGGCAGACTCTTCCACCTCCATGTCTGATGGTGCCAGGGGCGACTCGGGGCTTGCCGGAAGTGGAGGCAAGGAGATGTCATCAGGTGAGATACACTCAGATTCTTCTCCAGACAACATGTCTTCGGGTAGGATCAGCCCCTGGGCACTTCCCGTGTTTGCAGAGGACTGCCCCAGGTCTGGTGCAAGCTCATCTTCCCCTGTTTCATTGATAGCCAAGATATCTGCTCCCTGCAGCTGCCCCTTCAAAGGAGGACAGTCAAAGCTTCATTAGTAGGGTTTGCTTCTTTTCCCAGCTGCCCACTGCCGTGACACCCACGCAATGTGAGATGAAAACTTGAGAAAAACTTTAATTAAATTAAGCCTTAGGGAACTGGCACAAGAGTTCCTGAACTTGAAACTGTCTAATTTGGGCGTACTTCCATGCTATGACTAAGCATGTTTAAACTGTCCCCAAGTGAAATGAGACAGCCCCTGTGAAACAGGCCACTGAGCCCAGTTTGGATGTGCAACAAAGGGATTGGACTGGGTCAATCTTTTGGATTATGACAGAGGAGGCACCTAGTAAGCACATTCTCCTTGGTCTGAGCAGTCTACTTTCAAGATAAATACCTAGGTCGCTTGTTAAGTGAGCTCTCAGATCTTCCCAGACAAATCCCTCTTGACTCATGAAAGCCATGCTCCAGGGGTATTTTTTGTTGTCATTGTTGTTTTTTTTTTTGTTGTTTTTGTTTTTTTTTTTTTGGTCTTTCTGAGACAGGGTCTCCCTGTAGCCTCAGCTGTCCTGGAACTCACTATGTAGACCAGGCTGGCCTTGAACTCACAGAGATCCGTCTGCCTATGCCTCCCAAGTGCTGGGACTACAGGCGTGCACCACCATGCCCGGCTGGCTCCCATTCTTCAGTTTTAAATTGTCATAGGATAGATATAGTACTTTTTTTTTTAAACCATTTTATCCATTTTTAAGTGCACAGTTTAATGGCATTAAGCACATTCACGCTGTTGTACAACCCTTACCAGCATCCATCTGCAGAACATTTCATCTTCCCAAACTGAAACTCAGAACCCATTAAACAATGTTTCTCCAGCACCCCTCTCCCCAGTCTCCCAACAGTCATCACCCCTCTTTCTGACTCTATGAATCTGGCTACTCTAGGTACCTCATATAGAGAAAGCCACTTTACTGACTGGTTTTGATTTTCATAAAGCCTTTACCTTATTTCTTATGTTGAAACAATGCTTACCAAATACCTACTATGTGCTAGATACCCTACTATGTGCCAGATACCCTGCCAGTCAGTGGCGTGATAAGGCAGTGGGTGGAATTAGACATGGTCTCTGTACTTGTGGCAGAGAGTGCCTCATCTGGCACACTCCCATAACCCCCCACTGGAATTCATACATTCCATCATTTGCATTAAGGCCTATGGTGTCAAGTTAGTGTCCCCGATGTTCCTCAGTGCAAGTTCATCTCTTGAGATCTAGTCAGCCTATCTAGAGTCCCTCACTTTAGGAAGATCAGCTCTTCCTTACCCAGCAGTAATTAGTTGCCAATATTTCTTCAGCTAAGATTGGGGTCTGTTGTCCATTCCCTCAGTTCTACGCTGGGTTTTTGTCTGCTTCAGTTTGCATGGGACTTGTGTACACTGACACTCCTCAGTCATTCATGGGGAGGACCTGCCTTACCTGATAGTGTATGAAAGGAACTGAGCCATGTCATCTCTACCTCTTAGGGTGTCTCTTTAGGATTTGTCTTCTACCAAACAGATGTGCTCAGGTTGGCTCTAGAGCGTGAAAGCTCTATATCAAAGTCCGTGGGTGGATAGCTGGGTACTAAAGTAGATACCAAGGCAACTTCATCTGCACAGAATGTGAAGTTTTAGGAAACCCACCAGGAAAGCCCAAGCCACATCTACCAATCCAACTTCTATTGGCTACTGATTCTTGATTTATCTAGCTTATTTTCTGTTTGTGCCAAACAAATATAAGAAGTAAATCCAAGGTGTTTTTTTTTTAATTCTTAGATTTCCTGAAATAAAAGTATTTTCCACAGAAAATAGTGCTACCAGATAATTTCTACTAACAATAAGAAGGAAAATTTTGTCAAATAGTTTTAGAGACATTTTAGCTTTGCTGATATTCCCCTCTACATGCACGTTTCTGGAGTTTATTTACTTTCCAGGTAAGAATAATCAGTGGAATTAGCATTGCCTTGATGTACATGGTGCTTTTTATTAAAACAATTGCATTAAGCCTTTTTTTTTTTTTGGTTGCTGTTTTATAAGAAAACATGGAACCACTGATTCTCGCTAAGCTTTTAGTCAAATAAAGTTTCCGATCTTCTCTATCCATAAAGAGCTCTGATAAAAAGGTTGGATCCAACAGGGTTTAGAGTAGCACCAGCCATCTCCCCAGGACTTCGATTCCAAGTTGACACTGATGAACTACTTCCCACTCATAGGTGCAATTATCTCCCAACCAAACCCCCACTCAGTTCCTATTTCTTTTCACTTATCTTAAGGGAGATGCCACAAGTGTGTTTATCAAATAAATGATTTCCTGAAATTGTAATAAAGTATGCCTATGACACTAACCAAGAATTATGCCCTAAGGAATCATCTCAGCAAGCAAAAAAACTGGGTACAATGTAAATGCTTTTCCAAGTCCATTTGACACTTAGCACCTCTGCTTTTGTTCTCAAAATGTAAATGACCATGCAGTTTTCAATCACTATGAAATGTTAAACTTTTTTAATGTTACAGTACTTTTAAAACTCTCCAAGATATAGTTTCCTAAATCTATATAGTATTCACTTATGAAAAATGTATCTAAGCATTCACATATATTACTTTTTCTAATTTTTACATCATGAAATCATCTTTGCTATAAGACATTTGTATCATTCTGATGAGTTCTGGAGAAATAGCTGAGAAACGCTCATCTGATTTACCAAAACATTAAGTCCATTCTAAATTTGTTTCCCTCACACTCTTCACTGCTGTTTGCTTTATTGTTGATTTCCTTTTCTAGCCCCACCTTCTGAACTCTGAATTGCTTTGGCTTTCTCTTTAGTTTCTCTTCTTTCTCTTCCCTCCCTCCCTCCCTCCCTTCCTCCTTCCTTCCTTCTCTTTCATGTGTATGCATGTTCATGTGTCATTGGAGGCCAGGGGTCACTGTTGTGTATCTTCCTCAATTGCTGTCCACCTCATTTTCTTTGTAGACAAAGTCTCTCACTAAACTCACAGCTCACTGATTCAGACAGACTAGCTGGCCTGCAAGCAAGCCCTAGTGATCGTCCTGTCTCTACCTCCTCAGAGCTGGTCTTATAGGCACACACTGCCATACTTAGCTTCTTAGAGGACTGGGGATCCAAACTTAGATCTTCATGCTTGCATGGCAAGCATTTTACAACTGAGTCTTTGCCTCAGCTCCCTGTCTTTAGTTTAGAAAGTCCTCTCTACATTCTTCTCCTCTAAAAGTTCAATCCATTTTCATACTTAATGATCAGCTGGCTTTGAGGTAATCCTAAATCTATAGCCCTGGGTCTTATGTCTGTCATGATTGCTGAACTGATAGACATGATCACTTGGATTTATGACCATTGCACATAGGCAGACCTGGTACCTGGAAAGAAACGTAGGATACTATATACCCACTGACCTAAGTGGGCAGAATCAATATTCAAAATACATTGAGTGGGGAGAAAGAAACATGACCAATTAAAAGGCATACCATAACACTTTACATTCCAAAACATCTCTATAGCAGGTATTCTTACTTTAGAATAAACAATATTTAGTGGTGATAAGTGGGAAGTAAATAAAGAAAGATATTGGACATAGGGCTTAGCCTATGAAAGGCATTTCTCAAGAAGGCCCTTAGTGAATTCATGGGAAACTAAGAGGAGATGTGATACCTTTGGACACGAGGTGGCATGGCATATAAGAAGCAACAGAAAGGTAAGAGAACACTTTACTCTCTTCTGGTTTTTCTAAGGCAGGTGTTTCAGTAACATCTTCTCTAATACCCTATGATCACAATTAGTGGAAGAAGACCCAGGGACCCTCCTCCCAATCTGAGAAGAGCACTGTACTGAATTTTTAGAATAAAGGAGCTTTCATGCTGTTGCTTATTAATCCTCAGGCAAACAGAAGAACAGAAAGAAGGGGGAGACTTGGCATGGACATCCACAGTATTACTCAAACACCTTACTTTTATGCTCTAGTTCCTTGGAGATCCCCTTTGGTCTTATGAAAAAGGAACCTAGCTGAAGTTCAGAGCTAGGCTGCCTGCCCACTTCTGACACTAGCTTCTATGAATTTGGAGGGCAAGATATTTAATGCCTTTGGGCCCCAGTTTCCTCAACTGTAAAATGAGATTTGATCAGATGATTTTTAAATCCCTTCTAGCACTAAAATTCTATAACTCTCAATGCAGGCATCAACCAAATCTCTCATCTTCGACCAAAAGAGTTCCATGGCTTTAGGCAAGTTTTTTAGTACTCTGTGCCTCCATTTAACCTTAGGAGATTTCAGATATTGCTGTGGATTTAGCTCCCACACCCACCCAGGGATAAAACACCAGCACTAATCTGTCAGCAGTACTGTGTGCATTGTATTGACAGAACTGTCTAATTCCACATGCTCCACGTGGGGGTCAGGAAAATTGAGAAGCACTTTGCTGTCTCCAGGAGAATTTTTCTGTGATAAATAACTTCTTTATATTCATTTTGTAGAGCTGTTTTTTTTTTCCAACTCAAAATAATTTTCTGAGGAAGATTAATACCATTTAAGGGAATCAGAATTGAATGCAGTAATTCCCAGACAAGCTTTTAGGTGGAACTTCTTGCTGTCTGCCCACAAGATGTTTTTGGAGACGGATTACCTCTGACCTATATGTAAATAATAGAGACAATAAGAGGGCAAATATGGTTGAGCGGCCTAAAAGTAAAGGTTACTGCGACCCTTTCATTATGTTATCTGTACTGATTGCACCAGAATGTGTCTATGAAATGACGCCAATGAGAATTCTTGACAGATATAATTGTGGACCTTCACTTTTATTCCAAATGACTGATGATCTACTATGTCTTAATTTATATTAAAATAAAAGCTACTTTTCAATGAGAATAAATTGTGTTTTTTTGTAAAGACATTAGCTTGTTCTAATAAGAAATTAAATAAAAGCAAGATAAAAAGATTTTTATTCACTACTATATACTCTACAAGTGTGGTTGGTTTAGCAGCCATAACTTTTGTTTCTGAGGTTTTTATTAAATGCACCTAATTCATAGTGTAGAAGTTATGCAGAACTTAAAAAATTAATAAGATGAGCCAGGCATGGTGGTTTATGCTTTAATCCCAGCACTCCAGAGGTAGAGGCAGGCGGATCTCTGTGAGTTCAAGGCCAGCCTGGTCTATATAGTGAGTTCCAGGACAGCTGGGGCTACAGGGGGACCCTATCACAAAAAGACAAAAAAAAAAAAAAATTAATAAGATGATACTGGATCTAAAAAAATCTAGAACTATATATTTTTAAATGTGGTGTGTTTAATAATATTCTTTATTATTTCAACTAGTTGCTCTTGTCTTCAATCAAGGGGTCACTTTGCTCTCCAGTGGGACATCGGATTATACCTATAGACACAGTTGGGCCAGGTGGTGGTGCTATTGGCATCTTGTAGCAAGGGGATGCTGTCACTTATTTTACAATGCTCAAGACCCCTACCCCCAGTAGTGAATTATCAGGGTAAAGCATTAATGCTGCTGAGAATGAGAAACCCTTATTTAGCTTGTTCTAATAAGAACATCAGCTTGTTCTAATAAGAAATTACCAAAGACCATCTGATGGGAGACTAAAGTCCAACAAATGACTAAGTCTGAAAAGTTTTCTTTGTACCCAGAGAACACTCTAGGTTTAAGTGGCTCAAAAATGTACCACCAAAAATGTAGCTTGCTTAATGGTACTTGCTCCCTAGGGCTATATAATTGCATTGGGCTTGACATAGGTTTAATATGTAGAAAGAAGCCAGGAAAATCATATTCACTACAGGGATAGGAAATTTTGTTCTACAAAATAACTGTAACAAATGGGAAGGAAGGGAAGGAGAGAGAGAGAGAGAGAGAGTTATTTTTCTAGGAAAGCCCTGGAAGCATGAAAGTTGGCAAAGCAAAAGTCAAGTGCTAATTCTAATCTAGCAGCTAGGAACACAGTGCACAACTCACATGGAAGACCTAGAAGGAGACGGCGATTCAAATAATACTGTAAAAAGCATGGTATAGTTGTGTTTTGTGAGTATTTGTAGCCTTTGCTACATGCTATAATTTATATGCAAATGGATAGGTTTAAAGTAATGTGAACATTTCTCTAAATACTCAGTATTTATGTTTCAATTGGGTTCAATGTCTTAATACAGATGCCTAGAAATAGCATATAGAGATAGATTCTATTGAAAGCTAGAACCTAGCTCATGCACTAAGATTTCCTGATAGGCATTGTGAAACAATAAAAAAAAAAAAAAAACCCACCCCTTTGGCAATTTTATAAAGAGACAAAAAAAATTTGAAGGTAATAGGCACGGCACGCAAAGATGGGGCAAACAGAAAATATTATAAAGAGACAAATAAAATTTGAGGTTAATGGGCACGGCAGCAAGAGATGGGAGAAACAGTAGTAGCCTGCACAAACATGATGGCATTTGCATGGAGGTCTTAATGTCTCTGTAAAATGCTGTGGCACCAGTATTCAGTGGACGAAACACAGAGAGAAACAATAAGAGAAAGATATGGACCAAGTTAGGGGTAATTATGATGTCAGAGATGAGAAAACTGACATTGAATTTGTATTGGCAGTTTCCATTTGGATGAATGAGAAGTATTCAACTCATTTGTTTGCAATGACCGGTGACCAAACTCAAAGCAAAAATAACTGAAGTTCGGTGCTCTCTTTACCTTATTCCTTTCTTCTTTGAATATTGTTTGCTTGTTTTTTGCTGGTTCTTTTAGTGGGTCAATGCATTTGTGCTGAAAGTCTTCCAAATTTGGACTCATCTTTAGAACCTCTCCCTGCTGTACAAACAACTGTTAGTGAGAGTCTGAGCCAGGGAAGTTGGAAGAACAGGGCCATGCACTTGGAAGAAAACCATAAGCCAATTGCAACCATTCAGTAAATGTATTCCTCAAGAGACCAATGTACTCCCATGATGTGATTTATAAAATTGCCCCTCTAAGCTCACAGTTCCCATCTTGCCTCACTCCTTTGATAAAGCTCATTGCCACTGAAAAAACAAAACAAAACAAAACAAATCATTCAAAAGTCCACCAAGGAGAGAGGTAATAGTTACAATAGTTACCATACAGGCTCGTGATCTAGAGATGGGAATCACTGTGTAGGACAGTGTAAGCCATTAGGAGAGGTTGGGGAGCAGTAATGAGGAAGAAATAAAAGGTCCCTGATGAAGAAGAAAGTGGGAGAAACAGAGAATCTACATAAGAAAACTGTTTGGGAGAGTCTGGAAAAGAGGAAGGAAATAACCCTGAGCAAGAGAAAAGACAGTTGAGAAGACAGGCTTTCTCCAGTCTATACATGTCTCTTGTTCCTGCATTTTATGGCACTCAACTTTAGTCAAGGAGATAGTAGGGTTTTGTAAACTGGTGGGGAGCCACTCTGAGGGCCAAGATTTTGTGAAGAGGAGTGGAGGCACAGATGCTCCAAGTGATAGAACACACCAGTTTAGGATGATGGTGATATTGCAGCCGAATTCTTTTGCACATGGATCCTGGGCAGTAGATGTCTACGGAAACAGGTGTGTTCACCAAAGTGCACATTACACATGCTCAGAGGATTTGAAGAGACCTTGCTGGAGAAATTCAGCTTTGAATCTCAACTCTAAAATGAAACTGGTTTGTATTACTGGATGAGCTACTCTGTATCAATACAAACTTGGTATTTCAACTACAGTGGCAGCTGTTGTGAAAAGAATTCTAAGTTTCAAATTAGACCTATCTTCAAATTCTAGATATACCACTGCTGACCTTAGGGACAGCACTTTTGCCCTTTTGGGACCTGTTGCTTCACTTTAAAAAAAAAGAGTGTCTGATCTCCATTTCAAGGTTACTTGGAAATCATTGGAGATAATAATAATAGATATATAGATATATGTCTTTTGTAAGTATCAAATTACTATTTAAATAGAATTTATTATTATCAGTATTTTAGCCCTGAAAGGAGCTTCTGTGTTCATTTTTTAATAGCTCCTACTTAGGAAGGAGTGGAGCCCTCAGAAATGTTATTAGTGAACTTGCAAAAGAGCCTAATAGTGACCTTTTACCTTTCTATTATCTGAGTTTGGATAAGGGATCTGTGAGGAAGTAGGAGCTCACTAGACCTCAAACCGCTTCTGCCTTGCTTTCAGACTTACCAACCTCAGAACTGTGAGAAATAAATTTATGTTGTTTAAGCCACCTGGTCTACTGAATTTAATATAGCGGTTGGAACAGACTAGAACAGGCAGGAAAGAACACAAGCACTATGGACGATTACAAAAGGGGTGATGAGGAAGATGTGTGAAGAGAAAGGGGTATTGAGAGACAGTAAGATTTTGATAAATGTAAACAGAAGCCCAGGTGCTTATAGTAAATACTTAGAAGTAGGAAGCACTAAGAAATGTGGGACAGAAGCCGGGTATAGTGGCGCATGCCTTTAATCCTAGCACTCATGAGGTAGAGGTGGGTAGATCTCTATGAATTCAAGGCCAGCCTGGTCTACATAGTGAGTTCCAGGTCAGCTGAGGCTACAGGGAGACCCTGTCTAAAAACAAAAAGTGGGACAGGAACATATAATGAATGTAGAGACAAGGGCAATTGGAAAGATAATGTCTCAGAACACTGAAGAGCCTTGAGTTTGAACTTGGTAAGTAGTGTAGATCTTGTGGTAAAGGTTTTGAATATAAAATAACACGAACAGAGCAATATTTAGGACGGGCAATCAAGCCTGGTGCATAGTCAGGGCACTTCTGACAAGTGCAAAAGAGAATCCAAGAGATGAGTTGGGAATGCAAAAGAAAGAGGGTAACTGTTACTACAGGGAATGTTGAGGAACTGAATGAGGAAATGGAGACAGACTGAGGAAGCAGTTCTTTCAGGAAAAATAGCCATGAAAGTGCAAGACAGATGAATAAGATCTGAAGACCAGATTTCACAAAGGTGATGATGAACAACATATATAAAGACATGGCAGGAGGGCAAACAGAATCAGAGGAAGTGGTGATTTTAAGCCCGTACATGTGAATGATGAGAGGAAGCAGCTTCCCAGGGGGTGAATAGAGGTGGAGGGAAATGGTCAGTGCTGAACAAAGATGACATAAGATACATGGCTCATTCATACATTTTTAGCGACATAATTATGAAACATTTATGAAAAGCAACTTGACTTATGTATTAGAAACAGTCACATCTTCATATCCACCTTTCCAAATATATGAAGAATGTATGTGCAGGAAATAATACAAAAGAATGAAAATGCCATGCACAAAGATGTTCACTGTAGTGTTATGTAAAATAGTGAAAAGAAAATAAGTTTTTAAAAAATCTAGATGCTTAACAAAAAGAAAATGATAATTTGGTTGAGAATTCACTGAATTAAAACTCTCAATGATCATTTGAATAGAATAGGCACTCAAAATTATGGCATGGAAATCATATAAAAACAGTTGCTACAAAATATATACAATTCTGCTCGGAAATGGAAGACGGCTAATAGGCATGAGCAACAGCAATGATTGCCTTGGTAATCGTGGATAGCTTCACATTCAAGCCTCAGGGCCACCATGGGATTCATTCAACAGATCGGAAAATTTAGCCATAGGAAGACTAAATTATTGACCCAGTTTGCCAACCTAAGATTATGCATCTGATTTTCCAAGACAGCTATGTTTCAGTCTAGAGCCTATTCTCCTAAATAACCTTTTATTTTCAGTTATAAAAACAGCATCGACCAAAGCAAGTTTTTGACATAGACTAAACAACATATTTTCCTTTAATGTTTTTTTTTGTCTACCGTAGCTATTACAAGTATTTACTCTGTTTTTATCTATCGTTTTTAATTCCATGAAGGTTGTAATGCCAGCTTAATATTTCCATGATGCTAAATGTTCAATGAATGTAATACCTGAATTATTAGCACTATTTTCTCTGGTGCCACAATTTGGAAGAAGAAAAATCATCACATCTACTATTTATGATTATAAAGATAAGACTACTCAATATAGACTTTGCTTTGGTTTTAATGGCACACATTTATCCCCTAAGATATGATCCATGAAAATGTAAACGAGACACCTTAATTGCATTTAGCCCTCATTCTCAGCAACATTTTTATCTGCAGTGATGGGAAAGAAAGAGAATTAATTATCACAAACACCTAGATAATTATGCTAGAATGCTGTGAAACAAATGTGCACATTACGTCTCCTGAGAATTTCTATTAGAGCATCTTTGCACCAGAAGACATTTGATCAACACATTTTTATTTATATCACTTGATAATACATATTCTAGAAAGAAGAAATTACCTTCAGTTTTTCTTTAAGCTCTATGAGGGACCCGCATAATTCAGTAACAGATTCAAGAATCTCTTTGTGTCTTCTGACAATCTTCTCAGAATATTTCTGTCCTTCCTCCAAACCTAAAAAGAAGTAAATATAAATTCATTTTTAGGGCAAATTCGTAACAGGAATATAAAAGAAACTAGTTGTTAATTTATCTCTCAAGTGTCTATTGGAGATGTTGTTAGATAGTAAGTTCCTAACAAATGCAGGTTGAATAGATTGAAAAATAAATAAAGACCTAAAAAAAAAAAAACCCACAAAAACCCCAAGTGCTATAGTTTAGATATATTTGGATCTGAGGGTTTTTTTCTGGGTAATGAGGGGTTGGGACATGGTCCCATGTAGGTCAGGCTGGGTCTCAAACTCACTATATAAGTTCCATTCCTAAAAATCTGGGATTATAGGTGTGCCATCATGCCCAGATTGTGGTGGGGATATGAAATATCAATGTAAAGGCTTGGTCATAGGTGAAATATTCAAAGGTGGGATTTTGAGGGTCATGAGACCTCTGACTTAATCAGTGGATTCTTTTGTTAATGAATTAATAATTGAATGGACTATTGGGAGGTAGTGAACACTGTGGAAAGAGGGATTTAATTGGAAGAAGTGGGCCACTTGAGGACATGCCTTTGAAGGAATATATTGTACCTAGGCTTTTCCTTGCTCTGTCTTTCTCTGCTTTCTGGCTGCCATGAAGTGATCAGCCTTCTCTGCTATACATGCATGTTGCCATTATTCCTCCCAATCTAGAGCCAAAGCACTAGAATGTGCCAAGTTTAGGCTGATGCCTCTGAAACATGACCCAGGGACTTTGTCATAGTCTTGAGAAACCACTAACCAAAATAAAAATTGCATTTGCTGTGCCATGTCACTTTTATGGAACCTAAATAATGTTGTTATATTACTATTCTTAAAGCTGAATCCTAATCAGTTTTTCCTATTCAGGACATTCAGTCATTCTTTACTGATTAGAGAAGAATAAATTTCTTAGAATGGCATTCCAAGCCCTCCATCATATGGTCTGAACCTGCTTCTCCCAAATGGGCATTATTCTAATTATCTGACATATTTTAATCTCTGTCTGCACTGAGCCAGCCATTATTTCCTCAAACATTCCCACAGACAAAAATTATATATCTAATGGACCTGGACCACCATCTCTTTTTAATTTACCAATTACAAAAATATCTATTCAGGGGCTGGAGAGATAGCTTAGTGGTTAAGAACACTGGTTGTTCTTGCAGAAGAGCTGGGTTCGAATACCAGCATCCACATGGCAGCTAACAACTGTTTGTAACTCCAGTTCCAGGGGATCTGACAGCCTCTTCTGTCCTCTGTGGGCACTGTACGATACAAGTGCACTTACCTACATGAAGGCAATACATGCATACACATAAAATAAAAATAAAAAATAAAATATTAAAAAAACAAAACACAAAAAATCTATTCAAAATAGATTAAAAACTTAAATTCAATATCTGAAACTATTAAAAAATACTAAAATAGAACCTAGGGGAAATTGTCAGGACATTAAGATGAGCAAAGATTTTCAGATAAGACTCCAAAGGTTCAGTAGGGGAGAAAAAAAAACATAGATAAATGGGATTATCTTAAATTAAAAGGTTTCTGCAGAGTAAAAAGTCAATCCACAAAATGCAGGCAGTTTCCAGAATAAGAGAGAATGTCTGCTCACCATATATCCATGAGGGGTTAACATCCTTAATATGTAAGAAACTCATATGTGCTGGATAGCTTCAGTTGTCAACTTGACATACCTTGGTAGAAGGAGTCTCAGTTGAGGAGTCTCAGTTGGGGAATTTCCTCCATGGGACTGGCCTATGGCCATGTCTGTGGGGAATTTTATGGATTTTTGAGTGATGTGTGAGGAACCAGCCAACTGGGTGGTACTACTCCTGGGCAGTTGGTCTTGTGTTGTATAAGAAAGCTGGCTGAGTACAGGCCAGAGGAGCAAGCCAGTAATCAGCATTCCTCCATGGTCTGTGCTTCAGCTCCTGCCTCTAGGTTCTTGCCCTGAGTTCCTGCCTTGACTTCCCTCATTGATGAACTGTGACCTGAGAGATATAAGATTTAATAAACCCTTTCCTTCCTCAAGTTGGTTTTGGTGAGTGTTTTTCTCACAGAAAATAGAAGCTAAAACACTCATATAACTTCAATAGCCACACCCCTCCCTGCAAAAATCCAACCTGAAAACCAGTAATAGCTGAAAACAGGTATTTCTTAAAAGAAGACACTCATTCTGGGCTATGGAGGTAGCTCAATGATAGAAAGCTTGCCTAACATATGTGAGGCCTCAAATTTCATCATTAACACCAGAGGAAAAAACTAAAAGACACACACATGAAAAAGGACAAGAAGAATACAAGAAATGTGTAGCCTTGCCAATCCTCACAGAAATGCAAATGGAATGAGATACACACTACTCCAGGTAGAATAATCTAGACTTGTCCAGAAGACAGACAACAAGTGGGGAAAAGAGAATTCTTGCACACAAATGGTGAGAATATTAATTATTAATAATATTTGGCACTATGAAAAACAATATGGAGCGTCCTCAAAAAATTAAATATCAAAGTGCTGTATGATCAGCAATTTCCTACTGCCTATAAATCCAAAGGAAATGACATAGTATATTGATGAGACATCTGCATCTCCATCTTGATTGTAGCATTATTAACAACAGTAAAGAGGTAGAAACAACCTAAACATTAGTCAATTGATAGGTGGGAAAAATTATGGGATAGGACTGGGGAGACAGTTCAGTGGGTAAAACACTTGTCATGCAAGCATGAGGACAAAGTTCAGATACCCAGAACCCATGGAAATGGAAGGTGGGCATGGTAGCCTGTATATAATCCCGGCACTCAAAGCTAGAGACAGGAGATTCCTAGAGCAAGTTGGCTAGTTAAACTAACCAAATCAGCAAGCTCTAAGATCAAGTGAGAAACCATGCCTCAAGTATAAAATGGATGGCAATCAAGGAAGACATCCAGTGTCAACCTCTGGTCTTCATACTCCTTACACACATATGCACATGTGCATGTGGACCTGCACACATGGGCCCACACACATGTGAATACTCACCCCCCACACAAGCATTTGGTATATATATATATATATACCTTAAAATATTTTAGTCACAAAAAGGACAAGACTCTGTCATTTGTGCCAGCCTTGATAGGATTGGTGACATTATGATAAGTGAATAGAGCCAGCATAGAAAGAAAAAGGTCACATCATCGCACTCTCTAGAAAGGTTGATCTCATAGAAGTTGAGAGCAGGATGGTGCTTACCAGAGGCTGAAGAGGGTAGGGGAGAGGATGGGAAAAGTTTGGCCAGCATGTACTGTAACAGCTAGGTCTCAAACGGCACAGTAGAATGACTATAGATAATGTACGGCGTGTTTCAAAAGAGCTAAAAGAAAAGACAGTGAAAATTCCCACTACCAAAAAAAAAGATACATATTTGAGGAGACAGCTGTTCTTACGTTGACTTGAACATTATATGATTTTATGTATATTGAGATATAACATAACTTTACAACTACATGGGGTTTTATGTGTTAATTCAAAAGTAAAAATAAGTTGAAATTGAAATAGATTCTGCCAAAGTCCCAAAAATACTCATGCTTTCATGAGTTTTGTTGTCAAAACTCTAGTTATTCATCAAGATTTACCTCCAATACTGACATCTCTATGGAAATTTACTTTCTCAACTGGATTTTCTTCCTCCCTACTAGAACAGTAAGAAAAAATAGCTACCATATAGTGAGTGCTTGTTATTTGCCTATGGACAAGCACTTTCTTTGTATTATCTAGTGTGGTCCTTAGATAGGTGCTAGTATTATCCATGTTTAACAAAAGAGAAACCTGAGGCTCAAAAGAACTTTTTCAGGTGACCCAGACAATAATTTGGGGAACAGGGATTTGAATCCAAAGCAAACTTTATTATACATCTTTATGGGTTGAATTATGTCCATTCCAAATTCATATGTTGAAGTGTAATCCCCTGTACCTTAGAATATCACTGTATCTGGGAGGAATAAAATCATTAAAGAAGCAATTGTGTTAAAATGAGGCCATTTAGGTAAGACTCTAGTCCAATAAGCCTGGTACTCTTCTAAGAAGGAGAGACACCCAGGGCTGTTCAGGCACTGAGGGATAGCTATGTTAGAGAGAGACAGCAAGAAAGTAGATATCTGCAAGCTCAGGAGAGAGGCTTTGGAGAAGCCAATACTGTCAGAGCTATGATTTTAGATGCCTAGCCTTTAGAACAATGAAAACTTAATTTCTAGGGGCTGGAGAGATGGCTCAGAGTTTAAGAGCACTGACTGCTCTTGCAGAGGACCCAGGTTCAATTCTCAGCACCCACATGGTAGCTAACAACCATCTGTAACTTCAGTTCCAGGGAAGCCAACATCCTCTTCATCTGTGGGCATTGCACGACATGGGTACACTTATACACATGCAGGCAATACACTCATACACATAAAATAAAAATAATAAATAAAATATATTTTTAAATTAATTTCTGTTCAGTCACCTGTCTGGGATACTCTGTTGTGGCAGCACTAGCAAGCTAGTATATACACTTGATACTGTGTCTCCATTTGCTATATTATGACTTTTAGGCCTAGACCATGGTTTCCTGAATGCAGGAAGTATATCTTCATTGGTTTTATATTAATATTGCATATAGCTCCTTGTATATGGTACATAGTTGTAATTAGTTTCTGAGATGAATTTATTTGCATTAAAAGTTTTAGATTCATGGTGGTAAAAGGCTCAGTGGGTAAAGGAACTTACTGTCAAGCTTGATGACCTGACTTCAATCCCTGGTACCCACATGATGGAGCGAGAGAACTGACCCCCACAGGTTGCCCTCTGACATCCACATGTATGCTGTGGCATACATCCTTCTACTCCCAAAGTAAATGTAAAAAAATAAAAATAAAAATCTAGGTTGAGTAATGCTTGAATGGCCTGAAAGACTTTGTTTCATATCAATAAAGTAACTTATACAATTCAATTTTCAAAAAACATGTAGTGAGTTAAGGTACTTGTTGCCAAGACTGACAACTTGAGTTCCATTCTCAAGACCCATATGGTAGAAAGAGAAAACCAACTCCCACAAATTGTTCTTCAATCTCTATGTGCACTATGGCATGCAGATACTTGTGTATATAAGACACATTATATACACACAGACAACATAAAAATAAATGTTTAAAAAGTGTGTAGTTTCCATACTAGATGTATAAAAATTCATATCATGGAGCTGGAAAGATGGCTCAGTGGTTAAGAACCTACATGGTAGCCAACAACAATCTGTAACTCCAGTTTCAGGGGATCTGACACCCTCTCCTGGCCTCTATGGGCATTGCATGACATTGCCGTACTTACATACACACAGGCAAAACACTCATACACATAAAAATTTAACATTTTCATATAATTCATGTGTTCCATCATAGTATTTAATGATTCCTTTATTCATGAAATATTTATTAAGCCCTTAGCATGTGCCATGATGCTGTAATAGGCAAACTTTCTTCTCTCATGGAACCTACACTCTAGTAGAATATCCATACAACAAATAATTGTATATATCAGTTAGTGATAAGAACCAGAAAGCAAGACACAGAATGTGCAGAGAAGGCAAGATTCAGAGCTTTGCACAACTGGGGTGGAAGGTGATTTTATGGTCTTTGTGAGTACTTACCATGCCTTGACATCATACAGGCACTGTAATACTGTATATAATATACTCCCCTTGCCCACCAGTCAGCAGAGAAAACAGAGAAACAGGTGTCTATACTACTGCGAAGTGTAGTAAATACAGACATCCACAATGCTAAAGGGAGCCGAGTGCGTCTAAGACTTAGCACATGTCTAACTGGCAAGAAGGTGGGGGGGCTCATTACTGTTCATCATCTTTCAGTTGATATTTTAGTGCTTTTATGTTTCTGCTCTTTTCCTTTGGAACATCATAAACAATTCACTCTCAGTAATTTCCCATTAGGCAGTGCAGTTCCATTGTCGAGTATTTTATGTTTGTCTAGGAGTAGGGCTGCATATTACAGACAGAATGTCTTTCTAGAGCAGTTTGGGTGGTGAGATGATGCATTCTCCACCATCTGTTGGATTTGACTGGTCACTAGGAATTTCCCTTTGTCTCAGAGGATTCACCTCAGAGAATTCAGGGGACTTCTTTCTTTGAGCCCTCAACCATTCCCATCACCCAGGGACTTCTTTTAGGAGAAGAAAGTGCACTTAGGCACTTTCTTTACTCATCATGAAAGAGAGGAAAGCAGATGTGAGATGATGGAGTCCCCCCATTTATTAAACAGGAGAGAGGAAGATGAGCGAGAATTCTCCAGCCGTTTCTCAAATCTGCGAACCAAAACTTTCATGGAAATAAGAGGACAAAAACCTTCAGTGTAAGCTTTATACTTAAACTATCATTGCATCTTCCTATACTCACAGAATCACTCTAGTGGAAATTACACTTTTTGTCTATAAGCTGAATACGGTTCTGGTTTTATTACAGACAAGAACAGGAAGAACAGGGTACAGATTGAATAAAGGAGACTGACACAATGTCGTTAAAAATGAGGCTTCATCTACTCCTGGAAGTTCTGCCCTTCCTTCCCTACTGTTTACTTTGGCTGGATGTGGGCTCTATCTTGAGCCTTTTCTCTGAATAGGTGGCAATAGTGATGGCTTTACTCTGCTGGATTAGGTCCAGTATAGAGTCATTCAGTAGCAAATCACTGGATATCGTATAGAGACCTCACCGTATAAGCGCTGCGCAAGGTCAGTGACCTCCTGAATCCTTTCTTCTTGCTGAGGCACCAAGGGAGCAATAAACTTATTGAACTGCTTGTGGAGAATGTCCACAGCTTCCTTTGTTTGGCACTCCATGGAGTACTTCCCAACTCTTACAACTGTAGCACTTGCATCTTCATACCAAAAGTTGCACTAAATTAAAGTGGAATAAAGCACAAACGAAGGAGACATCATCCATCTGAATTTCTTGATATTGACCAGTGAAACTTCAGATTTTGATTTCCTTAGACTTTTGAATAACATAGACTTGAACTTTCTAAGTCACAGCAAACAAAACAGCAGAACATGATCATATACCTTTGCACTTAGACACCCAAGGCAAAAATTTTAAAAAGTATAATTATCAAAATATGAATAAATAAAATTAGAAAGCCAAAGTATGGAATTACCTTTGATTCTTCTGCCTCCCTAGATGTTCCTAAAGTATAATTCCTAAGAGAATGTTGTACATATTCAAGAACAAGCAGCAATAAAAACATTTTGGTGCTAAAAATAATGAAAGCATTGAGAAAATACACTCAAAATCCAGCACAAACAACTAATATTGCAGATAATCTAGGAGTAAAACTTTTCCTTAATGCTAAGCATGGTAGCATACATCTTTAATCCCAGAATTCAGGAGGCAGAGGCAGGTGGGTCTCTGTGAGTTTAAGGCCACCCTGGTCTACATAACAAGTTCCAGGCCAGCTGGGACTACAGTGGGACCCTGTTTCAAAAAGAACCCCCATAATTTTCCTCAGTAATATCCTAATGATAAATCTACCTTTAAGAATGAAATGTAAACTATGGGTAGACATAACAATCAAAGAATAGCATCTTCCAGGGCTGGAGAAATGGCTCAATGGTTAAGAGCACTGACTGCTCTTGCAGAGGACCTGGATTTGATTCCCAGCACCCACTTGATGGCTAACAACCATCCCTAACTCCAGTTCCAGGGGAATCCAATACCCTCTTCTGACTCCACGAGCATTGCATGACACAGGTGCACTTACACACATGCAGACGATACACTCACACTCGTAAAATAAAAGTAATAAGTAAAATATTTTTTAAAAAAGAATAGCATCTTCCTTTGTAAAAGTGAATATAGTCATGGTTTAAAAAGCACCACGGATAAATGAAACAGTTTTTCACTAAAAATAAACAATTGTGATAGAAGGAATATCTGCCCCATGCTGGAGGTACTTCTGCTGGGTGAAAAAAGAATAGCACGTGACTCTGTGGCAAGCTGGTTTTTAGTAAACTTTTGGCAAGTTTCAGGGAGTTTCAGCAAGCCTGTACATCAAGAATTGAAGTCTTCATAACATGTCTTGAGTCTTCATAACATGTGTTGACTCCAAAACTCAACTCTATTTACAGTAAAATAAAATAAAATAATAAAATAAAATAAAATAAGACACTTTGTATCCCAGAACAAGAAGCAACAAAGAGCACGCAAGAGCTTCAAGTAAAGGTTCTTCACTAGGAAATAATTAATGACCTGACCTTGTCAAACTTATAGATTTTAGGTAGACCATCACTTGTCCCCTTGGAAATAAGAAAGATGACGCCAATAACATACTTTTGAGCCTAAAAATTCCACTATCAGATTATTCCTAAATATATTCAAACAATGTGAAATAAATATGCTGTTTGACTATTTTAAACAGAGTTCTGGGAGTAAGTATAATTTCAGTTGTTAACACTTTGAGTTGAGGCTATGAAGAAATAAGAACTCTCACATGGTGCAGCGAGGATAAATTACTAAGAACTTTCTGAAGAGCAACTGGACAACACAATAAAAACAAATCCTCACATTCATTCCCCTTGGCCCAGCAGTTCAACTTTCAAAAGGAACTAATACAGCATTGCTTTAAAGCAGGCTGTTCTTGAACTTGCAATCTTCCTGTCTCCAACTGAGGTTACAAGGTACTCTACCATGCCCAGGACAAATTATGTTTTTGGAGTAACATTACAATAAGAACACAATGACAAGAAGAAGATACCTCTTCTATTAATTCCTGGAGGTGTTCAGTCAGGTCCAAATTCATCTTGTAATCTGTAACAACTCTGTCAAAGTCATCCATATGTTTCTGCAAATCCCTCATGGCTTCCAATAGGACATCAACTTTATTACTTGGGTAATTTAAGAATAAATCAGAAGTTTTAGTATTAACTTTATCCACTTTCTTCCTCAAAGCCTGTAGAAGAAAAGGTTGTTAAAAGAACATTGTATTTGTATTTACGATGCTAGTGATAAAATAGAGAATAATTTGTAAGACTTTTATACCTTCACCATTGTGATATGTTAAAATTATAACCACTGTAAATATAAAATTTGGGAAAGGAGAGATTTTATTTCAGGGATTTTACTCACTCAGTATTTTCAAATACATAGAAAATCTAGACATAATTTGGACCATATATATGATTATCAAGTACCTATGGATTCTGCGGAGGAAGCTCGGGACATAGATAAAAGGAAGGAAGGAGTGTGGAGGGCATGTCAGGTATGTATGCACATATGTATGCATGTGTTGGGGAAGAATGGAAATGGATAGGCTGTGTAGGTTTGGCAGAAACTATTCTAGAGCTGTCTCAGCACATAAATCTCTGAGTGCATCATTGGGTGCTAAGTTACAGGGATGGGGTCAGAAGATCTGGTATAGTGTTGCAGGGTAACCACAGACACTGATGATGTACTGCACATTTCAAAAAGCCCAGAGCAAGGATTTTTAGTGTTTTCATCATAAATAAATGATAAATATTTGTGGAATCAGCTATTTCTGGCCTGATTTAAAACCATGCAATGTATGCATGTATAGAAACATAACATGGTATACTCAAAGTACATACTTTTCTTCTGTTTTCATATGACAGAAATAATTTTAAATGTAAGAAAACCAATAAACTATAAAACCTGGCTCTCAGAATGAAGGACGCACTTAATTTTAGATGATAGAAATTATACTCCAGGTGGAATACTGCTATATATTGCTACATGAAATTTTTGCTTTAAGTTAGTCTATTTAAAATTGGCATCATTTTGCTGAATCCAAACAAATAACTGAAACATTTTAAGGAAGGCAGACTGTGTACCATAGAGAATAGAGTTACTATTTTTGAAGGGAAAAAGAGATAAAACAAATTATTATTTATTTCATACAAGAAGTCTAATTATTATAAAATAGAAAACTACCTAACTCAATGCTATAAAAATAGTTATGCTTGAACTGAAAAATTATTTTTGTTATTTCACAATAATTATAGTAGTAAGGCACACACACAGATACACACACAAACACACACTCAAACAATACCTTTTCATTACCTGCATTTTTTCGGCATATATATCAACTTGTTGGATTTGATATTGAAGAGACTTCAGATTTCGAGATTTTTCATTTTTCTTGGAGTAATTAAACTTCAAATTGTTGAATTTCTTTTTGATATCTTTGAATGACTCTTTAAGCTATAGTTTAAAAGAAACATTATTTCCTTACAATTAGAACTCTAATGTTCATTTATTATGAATCTAAATATATAAATACTTTCAAATATTCATGATCTTAAAAATGTATTCAGAGTTGTTTTTAATAAAAAATAAACCTGACAGGTGCAGTGGTGCACACCTTTAAACTCAGCACTCATGAGGCAGAGGCAGGTGGATATCTGTGACACTGAGGCCAGCCTGGTCTACATAGCAAGTTCCAGGCGAACTGGGGCTATAGGGAGATCTTGTCTCAAAAACAACAACAAATCTCCTGCATGAACATATAATAAGAACTTAAATATATCCTCCAACGCAAATACTTTCTGATATACAATCTTAAATTTATTACCGTTATAGAATATGTCTTTGGTTGCCAAGCAAGAAAGATTCTTGAGTGGTAAGCTTTTGCTAATTCTAATTTTATTATTCATATTTACTAGGTATCTTTGTCGCCATCCATTCCATTTTCTAATGGACTAATATTGGTCCATATTCTTCCATATCCTGAGTTTTTCTTATAGTCATTATGTACAAAATTATTAAGGCTCCAAAGAGCTGTTCATGTGGAAGAGGCCCTTATAGAGCACCTAGACATTATATGAGATTTAGTGAGAAAGTATTTTTGCCCAGCTAAAATTATTTTTCATGAACGAATTTCAGATGAGTTTTACTTAATAGATGTTGACCATTAGCTTAGAAAATACTAACAAACAAAACAAAACGAGGGTCATTGCCACTGCGGCAATGCTGACTTGTGCATAGACAGAGCATAAGATGACGGCCTTACAAACTGTTCGGCTTTACCAGAGTGCCAGGAATCTAAGTACCAGCTCTTTCCCACATGCATCTTTCTGCTGCTTCGCTATATTCATGAGGGGTAAACATATTTATAAGCAACTCTCTCTCTATGTTATCACAATGGGAAGCACAAGAAGACGTAACCTCAGATTCTATGTGAGCATTTAACAGCCAGAAGGAACAGCGTCATGGTTGACAAAGTTGAGCTGTGTTTTAAAAAAAGTTAGAAATAGATTAAAATTCTTTTCAACAACAGTAAATAAACTATTTGAGAGGGATTAAAAGCTATGTATATGAGATATTGTATGAAATTCATAATGCAGAAATTGCATTTGCCCTAGAAAGTACATGCTTTCTCAAAGTGCCTACTCCAAATTTTGCATACAGTGGAAACAAAACATTGACTTTAACACTTCTTGTAAACAATAAAGTCGTAGCAGACTAGTGCTTGTAGAAACCAATATGCTTCTGCAATTTTTGCATTGGACATATCTATACTTACTATTGTTTCTTTTACATAGAAAATGGAATTACTGAATATCAGTTTCAAGCTATGCACAAAACCAAGAACAGCGATCACATAAACCATTTTAACTGATAAAACAACAATGATCAGAAGAACTGGAAAGAGGTATAATTTCAGATGTTGAAAATGACTTCTATAGCAGAAGACCAGAACTATTTAAAACACCTTATTAAGTCTGCATATTTATGAGACTACAATAGATAGTTACATTCTATGACACTTGATATTTTAATATGCATGTGTTTGATTCTAGCAGGGAAGGATAGATGAGGCAAATCTTATCATACTGAAATATAAGGATCTAAAACTGAGGTAGGAACTTTTTAATCCCAAAGTCATAATTTGCTCCTATAAATTAATAAGTGCCACATCTGAAGAAATCAGAAATTCTTATTAAAAAATTCTCTCAGTGGCAAGCTACTGTTTAATAGCATACATATTCTGTTTGGGATGTTCAAAAATTTGTGCAGATGGATAATGGTGATAGTTACATAACAATGTGTACGTATTTAATACCACTGGACTGGACACATAAAGTGGTTAAGACAATCAGTGTAATGTTAGGATATTTTTCAACAATTAAAACCAAAATTATTCAGGACATAGTAGTGAACACCTATAATCCTAGTACTTTGGTAGCTGCAGCTGAGGATCACAAATTTAAGGACAGCCTAACCCTGTCTCAAAAAAATAAAAAATTAATGGCTAGGGAGATGGTTCAGTGGGTTAAGTGCTTGCCATGCAAGTGAGAGTTCCTAAGTTCAGAGCTCCAGAACCCATGTAAAGCCAAGCATTGTAGTGGTATGTCTTTAATTCTAAAGTGAGATGGGAGGCAGAGATAGAATTCCCAGAATGCCATGGGCTAGCTAGCCTGGTACACATAGTTTTAAAGCAACAAAAGAGACCACATTTCAAACAAGGTAGAAAGCGAGGACTGGCGCCCTAAGTTGTCTTCTGACCACACACGTAATGTAGCAAGTGTGCATTTTTACTCAAATACACAAAACACGCACATACACTCAAACACACAAATCATACACACAAAATAAGTAAATTAATTATAATATAAAAATAATACAAGTAAAATAAATATTAAAAAGAGAGATAATGTGTCTTGTCACTAACATTTATCCACTGGGAAATAAAGTTTCCTCTTACAGTTTTTACTGACACATGATAGTGTTATAAACTGTAGGAAGAAGGGTTCTGTCATCAACTTGATATCCACGGGGTTTTATGTGCTTCTTTGAACAGGAAGGTTTAACATCTACTTGGAAATTGTATGAGGAGTGTAGGAAAACTGAGCCTTAACACTTTAATTTTAAACCATGAGATTTCACGTCTACTTTAGGTTAAGAAATTGAAGATTATTAAACTGGTAGGGTGACTTTATTTCTGTTTGTTCAGAATGTATGCACTGCCCCTGGAAGAATGTTGGTACTGATGTGGGTGTGTGACATGAGATCAGCCTCTTTCTGACATATGAGCCACCTCCACAAGTGGCTGGCACCTTCCTCTTTTGGACCCACTGGAAACCCATTCAAAATCTAAGCCCTTGTGCATTTCTTGATGCAAATTCAGGACCACCGCAGATACAAGCAGATGGGATCTTGGATGAACTACCTCTAGCAATAAAAAAAATCCAGCCATACATCAGTTTTCTTACCTGCAAATTCTAATATGAAACAATCTAATCCCCACATAACTTGGTGTCCTATTTGTAAAGGGACAGAGGGCTCTGGTTGCTTGGTTGTGGGGGTATCATTGTTCACGCAGCTGTTTCTAACTTTAGTTAGCTTGTCAACAATGGGGAACGGTGGAGCTGGCTAAGACAACTGGTGAGCTTGGACAAGCAAGCATCCCAACACTGGAAGCTTTACGAGAGAAAGACTTTAGCCTACTAGACATCTTCAAATGCTATAATTCATATTAGTAAAAATTACATATCAAGAATACTAGGGAAATTCTTCTTCATTGCCCAATCTGACTTTCTTGTCTTTTTCCATGCTCAGCTCCTCCATGTTTGCACCTGGAAGATTTAGAAGGCTAAATTTATTAACTATAATTAGAACAAAAAAGATTAAAAAATTAAATTGCCAATTTTTTAAACTAAGAAATGATCATTTTCACAGTAATTTCTCGGTGAGTTATAAGTTCCCTTTCAGAGGCAGAAATGAGAAAAGCTTGCATGAAAAGTGTGAGAGGCTTCTAGCAGGCCAGGCTATCTTGCTATTCTTAGTCTTGACTAATCTGGTTGAGGCAGCTTTCACAAGAATGTATTATGTGTAAGTCTGGCATTGGCAAGGCCAATTGGTATGAGGGACATGGGGCTATTTAAAACCAAGGCAATGCGTTTATAAGAAAACCTTTCTGTAGAATGCTGGACTACTTTTGGCCAACAGCAGAAATCCAGAATGAGCAGCCAGCTTTCATGTCTTCAGTGCCCATGCCACAAGCTCTGTTTCCTAGCCTCCATTTTGCCCATTTTAGATTTTTTAAAAAATAGCTTTCTGATGTTCACTGCAGTAACATAAGGCTGCAATGTTACCACATCCAAGAGCTGCTTGAATTTGAAATGATGTCCAAAGATTCAAAATTGTAATCCCAACAAGTTGCTGCAAATGTTAAGGGTAGGGAATTCAGCTTTAGTGTTGAATGATGTTGTGGACCAGCTTTTCTTGGCTTTCCTCCATTCGGTAACTACGGGTACCTCTTCCCCAGCTTCCAGCCCCAAAGTAATAGAAAGTGGGGCCACCCAGAAGGCAGAGGCAGCTGCTCTGCTTCACACCTTGGGCAGCAGCAGTGGGTCTCAGCAATAAACATTATTTTGCATATTTGGTATCTACATAATAAACTTATTGCATTTCATTTGTTCTGTTTTGGAGTACGAGGGTATGATAACTGTAGTTTCGAGCTTTGCTCTCCATACTCTTCTGAAGGTTCTGTAGAGTCATTTTACTGATGTCAAACGCTACAATTAAAAAAAAAATTTTAACCTTCAGGATGAACGTTTTCTACACAAATTGGGAGTTTTCCTATTCACTTACACATGCCAACCAAATGGAGCTGGGGGGTCATCTAGGAAGCAGATGGTCATGGCTGTGAGACCCCATAAAGGTTGTAATTTCACTGAGAGTCTACTGTTTTCTGTGGACATTTGCCATCTTATAGCCTGGCTCACAGTAACCACATTGAAGATATTTGTTGAAATATAAGATAAGATAGCTTAGTATTTTTTAAGAAATAAGGGGCTGGAGAGATTGCTCAGTGGTTAAGAGCACTGACTGCTCTTGCAAAGGATCCAGGTTGGATTCCCAGTGCCCACATGGGGGCTATGAAAGTCCTTAACTCCAGTTCCAGGGAAATCTGAAGTCCTCTTCTGACCTCCATGGCATTGCACGACAGGGGTGCACTCACATGCATGCAGGCAATACACTCATACATATAAAATAAAAATAATAGACAACCCACCAGCCTCTCTCCTTGACTCGCCCCAGCTCATTCACCCTCCCATCTTCCCCTCCTGTCTCTCCTCCTAGCCTGGGTCCTGTCCCATTCCTTGTCTTGGCACCCCACACAACTCAGTTCCTTCTCAGGTCCCCAGAGCACTCTGGGTCTGGCGTCACCCACACCTCCCTCTGCTTCCCTGGGGTGC